TTCTTCGCCGGTGGGGGGTCCAAGTCCCGGGTTGGGGGGGTCCTCGGGGGGTTTTGGGTTTTCCCCGAGGGGGGGGGTTCTTTCGGGGGTTCTTCGGGGGGGGTTTTCCGGTTGGGGGGGGCCCTGCCCAGGGGCCAGGGGGCCTTCGGGGGGCCCTTCCGGGGTTCCGGGGGGGGGGGGGGGTTGCCCTTTTTTTTCATGGGGGCCCCCGCCCCCCCCGGGGGGGGTGGGTTTTTTTTTTTTTTTTGGGGGGGGGGGGGGGGGGGCTGGGCGTTTTCGTATTGCGAGAATCATGCGCCCGCTGTGGTGTGTGTGTTTGTATTTGTTTGTTTTGTCCTAGGAGTGCGGGGCGAGGGCAGGCGGCGGGGGCGGGACCAGTGTTTTTCTTTCCGGGGGGGGGTGTTGAAAGAGCACGATGGTTCTCAGCCCGTGGTCTTCAGTCTTTTCAGGTTGCAGCGTGGGGAGGGTCTTCCATGACGTGTGTCGTATGGTACCGTACGTACTAATGGAGGCGTGTGGCGTGTGGGCTGTGGAGGTGTCATGGTGTGGTACTAATAGGAGCATGTGAGAACATGGGCATGGTTGAGTAGTGCTGTTCGCTTAGGGTATTTTGCGTGCGAAGGATGGAGGGCATCGCCGCTACAATCATGTCTTGCTTTGGCGAACAGGTTCATGCACCGAACAGCAGCCAGCTGTTTGGCACACATCATACGGTAGGAGTTTTTTTTTTTTTGTGGCCTGCTTGAACGGGGATCGATTCGAGAGCTGTGTTGGTTTCGTTCAGCGCGTCGCCCCCGGTTGGCGCAGCCAAAGCCAAGCGCTTACACGTGTACACACATGCAACTCACGCTCGGTCGCATTTTTTGACACACATATGCATACACGCACGCACCCCCCCTGTGGGTAGAACCCTTTGGTTGGAAAGCGTGTTTGCGTTTTTTATCCCGCTGTAAAGAGTGACGTGTTTTCATTGGTGAACCGGTTAGCGCGGTCGATGCAAATACTGAAGGCAAGCACCTGTTTTTTTGTCCCTGCTACAAGACTGCCGTGTTTTCATTGGTCAGCCGGCGGTGATGCGGCACGTTCGGCGCCAATTCAGAACAACACGCACACACACGCACAAAACACAGGTCCGGCTGGAGTTCCCGAATGTGCTGGCGCAGCAGAACGCACACGCGGACTACGTGCACCTGCTCGAGTCCATCTCGGCCGTGATCGGGGTAGCGCAGCGGCAGCCGAAGGCCGACCTCTTGGAAGAGCCGACGTCCTTCGGCGGCATCAGTCATTCGGTGTCCGGCCACGTGCAGGTGTGTTCCTCCTTTTCTTGAAACTAGTATGCACACGTCCGAGGAAGCTCGGCCACGTTTGGCTGTTCCTCGTCACATACCATCAAGAGAGGATAATACCCCCCGCTGGTGAACGGTTAATCACAACTTCAGGGACTCTTGACTCTTCAGAGAGAAAGGGAGGGTATTCTCACTCAGATCGTGTTGTTATTGAAGCAGCTGCTTGTTGTTGTAGCTGAATTCGACATTTAACGCGACGTTATTTACACACACACGGAAGACCTGTTCCGTTTCTTGTCCCGTGATTTTTTCCGTTGAGACTGGCGTCTTTTCGTTACTCCGGTGGACACCTTGCCTCGAGTATTTGGCGCTCGCCCGCTGGCAGCACCCACACAAACATGGAAAGCACATGGTGTATCGAAAAGGACGGAATCGAGGCCGTCAAGAAACGACGAACGAGATAAAAGACAGCAGTGCTGCCGTTTGGCCGGGTTTTTTTTTTTTTTCTCTTCACGCCTGCCGCGGGTCTATGGCCCCTCCCTACTCGTTTGTTGTCCAATTAGGGCTCGGAGCTTACGCCGGCAGCGGAGGCAGCGTTCTCAGAGATCTTCAGGCGTCACAGCATCAACGGCGGCATGGACATCCGGAACATGGTGAGTGTCTAATCGTTGTTCGAGTTGACAGCACTTGTTGCCTGTTTTGTGTGGTTGTCGTGGTTGAGGTTGTGGAATAATAGTGGTAACACACACTGCAATGTTACCCACGTATGTTTTCTCTCCCCCCTGTCTTGCTTTTTCCTTGTTTCCCGCCGACTCCAATTGCACTACAATACCAGACCCACTACATGGAGCAGTGCGGCATGGCCGGGAAGCCTTACCGGGAGACAGAGCTCACCCTGAAGAACATCCTCAGCAAGCACGACACGTTGGACGGAAACAGGCTAAGCCGGGATGGCTTCCTCTCCTACTACAGGGAAGTTGCGGCCACAGACCCACGCCAGGTGACTATTGTATTACGGCATCGGACGAGTTGTTTTTTGTGCGGCTTCGCACGAGGCTTTAATTAGCCCAAAGGCGTAGACCGGTGCCGAACATACGCAATTGTTTTCTTCTTAACTTTCAGCTGCATTTGATTTTTTTATGTTTCCGAAACGAGCGTTTTTGTTCCTTTGTGGGGGATGTGCAAATCGACCCCGATGGCCTGCCCATTTTCGCCCGCCCGTTGTCGACGTCATGTCTCATTGTAGACGTTTCTGGGTCAAAAATGAGGAGCGGAGGGAGCATTGCCCCTAACTGTGTTCCTCAGACATTCGGTTATCCTAGTATACTTGCTGTGGCTTTCTTTCTTTTCTTGTGGGCGTTTTTGTCTACGAAAGAGTGTTGCTCAAACCTCTTGTGTGCTTTCGAGATCATTTGCAGCATGTCGGGTGGTTTATCCGATCAGACATGAATGCGAAATGGCATTTTTTTTTTTTTTTCTTGAACATTTTGCTTTCTTTTTGTTTTCTTGTGTTATTCTAAGGCGTGGAACGACCTGTACCACATGGGCTACCGCTCCGACCTGACGGCCGGCATGGGCTACGGCGATGAGGTGTACAACTTGGCACCGGCCGCCGCTGCTGCCGCCGCTGCCGCTGCTAGTGCGAATGACGCGCAGCGGCGGCCGCTCCTACCAGAGCTAACGACGAAGGCGCTCACCTGGTATGGGTAGTGGTGGTGGTGGTGGTGGCATTTCATACTCCGAAGTAGTTGTTGTCTGGGGGCTTTGCCTCGTGTTGGGTGTTGTTGTTGTTGTTGCTGTTGTTGTTGTTTTGGGATACATGGTGGTATATTGTGTGGTACGGTGGCGACGGCGGCAAGTAATACTTGGAAGTAGGTATTGGTTGGGCCCTTTGCCTCGTGTTGTGTTGTGTCGTTATCGTGGTGGTGGTGGTTATTTGTTGCTTGTTATTGCATCGTAACGGACGACGGTTTCGTGTGTGATGCTTCTCCACGCGCCCTAACCACGACCAGAGTCGTCACGGCAAAAACAGCAGCGGCTTATCATTGTACCCGCGTGGCCTTCCCCCCACCCCCCCCGCGTGCCAGTAGGGTAGGAACGGTGCTCCGTCTCGAACGGGACGCGTGGTCAATGGTCAAATGACTACGGCAAGCAACAAATGAGTACGCCCCCCCCCCCCCCCCCCCCCGGGCCGAGGGTTTCCGGCTTTTTTGCAACCGGTTGCCCCCCAACGGAAAAAAAACCCCTTTTAAAAAAAAAAAACGGGGGTTTTCCCGGGGGGCTCCCCCCCCTTTTAGGGGGGTTCCAATGGGGGGAAAATTTAAAAAAAAATTCCTTTCAAAGGGGGGAAGGAAAACCCCCCCCAAATCAATGAACTTGCCCCGAAAGGGCCCTCTTGAAAATTTCCATTTTAAAACCCGTGAAAAAAAGGGGGGGGGGGGGGAAAAAAAAAAAAAAAACAAAAGGGGG